GCCGCTGCCGCCGTCACGGCCTCTCCCTGTTTTGCAGGTGGCAAGTACGTGCCCCGCGCCGTCCTGGTGGACCTGGAGCCCGGCACCATGGACTCGGTGCGCTCCGGGCCCTTCGGCCAGATATTCAGGCCAGACAACTTCGTGTTCGGTGAGTGCGCCGGGAGCGGGGGAGGGACTTGCCGTGTAACCGGCTCGGGGTGGGGAGGGCAGGGCAGGGCCGCTGCACTGCGGGCTACACCGCCGCACATGCTCCGGAGGCGAGCGCGGCCCCGGGAGGGGGGTTAATCCCGGCGCTTCATGACGGGCGTGAGATACCGGGGATCTGTGGACGGGGAACGATGGCAGCTGCTGGGAGAGCGGGTCTGAGAAAGCACAAGAGGTCGTTGCTCTTCCAATTCTCACTAGCTCCTCCATAATACCAAGAGAAATTAAATGGCTGCTGTGTCACTGGTGATGAATGTTTTCCATGTATCTGCCGAGCCATGTCAGAGGTGCTTGTGTGAAACCATGGCTCTGTGCTCGATAAAATGAAAGCTGTTGTGGGGTTTCTCTGCAGCCTGATGCTCCTAAGCTTTGCTTGCAAGCAATAAGCAGGAAGCAGCGACCGTAATCTAATATGAAAATGGCTCTCTTCCAGGTCAGAGCGGAGCAGGAAACAACTGGGCAAAGGGCCATTATACGGAAGGTGCTGAATTAGTTGATTCCGTGTTAGATGTTGTAAGAAAGGAGGCAGAAAGCTGTGATTGTCTCCAGGGCTTTCAGCTTACTCACTCTCTCGGTGGTGGTACAGGCTCTGGTATGGGTACCCTCCTCATCAGCAAAATTCGTGAAGAGTACCCAGACCGAATTATGAATACTTTCAGTGTTGTACCCTCCCCTAAAGTATCAGATACTGTAGTAGAGCCCTACAATGCCACACTCTCCGTGCATCAGCTTGTGGAGAACACAGATGAAACATACTGTATTGATAACGAAGCCCTCTATGACATATGCTTCAGAACACTGAAGTTAACTACTCCAACATACGGTGATCTGAACCATTTAGTGTCAGCAACCATGAGCGGTGTTACCACCTGCCTGCGATTCCCAGGCCAGCTTAATGCCGACCTGCGGAAGCTGGCGGTGAACATGGTTCCCTTTCCCCGTTTGCACTTTTTCATGCCTGGTTTTGCCCCGCTCACGAGCCGTGGGAGCCAGCAGTACCGTGCTTTAACTGTGCCAGAACTAACGCAGCAGATGTTCGATGCAAAGAACATGATGGCTGCGTGTGACCCACGTCACGGCCGCTATCTGACCGTAGCTGCTGTTTTTAGAGGCCGTATGTCAATGAAAGAGGTCGATGAGCAAATGCTGAATGTTCAGAACAAAAATAGCAGCTATTTTGTTGAATGGATTCCTAATAACGTTAAAACAGCGGTCTGTGACATTCCACCTCGTGGCCTGAAAATGTCTGCCACCTTCATTGGTAACAGCACAGCCATCCAGGAGCTGTTCAAACGCATTTCTGAGCAGTTCACGGCCATGTTCCGCCGAAAGGCTTTCCTGCACTGGTACACTGGCGAGGGCATGGACGAGATGGAGTTCACAGAGGCTGAGAGCAACATGAACGACCTGGTGTCTGAGTATCAGCAGTACCAGGATGCTACAGCTGAGGAGGAGGGGGAGTTTGAGGAGGAGGCTGAAGAAGAGGCAGAGTAAAAGCTATGCAGATGAACACCTGTAAATTTTGTTTAAAGCTGTATGAACTCTTTCATTCAAAACTTCTCTGTCTGTGTTGTGTTCCTCTTCCTGTCTCAAAGTCACTTCAAATGCTGTACAGGCACCATTAAAGCATTTTTCACAGTGCACAAGCTCGTCTCCTTTGTTCCTTTTGGTAAGCTTTTCGGGTGCTGTTTCCAAAAGTGAGCGCATAGGTGGGTCGGAGATCTGGAAAAGAAAAGTACGCACTTGGCATGAACCTGGCCACCTTCCCCAAGGCAGCCACGCTTCACTCCCTGCCTTCTAACGAGGTGGGCAACTGTTGCTTGTGTCACTGGATGCGGTGACAGTCCTACTTGCTCCTGGTGGTGCGGGAATTGAAGAAATACTCTGGTATGGCTTTGTAATGGTGGGTGTTGGCGGAGGGGAGGGTGGAATTCAGCTCCAAAGCTGCAGCTAAATTTAGGTACCTGCGTGTGGCCTCCTGTTACAGGCCCGGCTCTGGGGGGCTGAGCAGCTCTCCTGGCCAGGGTGCTGTGTAGGTGTCTGAGCCATAGCGTGGCCGGGGCCACTGCAGCTGTGCAAACCCCGCAGGTAGCCATGGCCTGGCACAGGAGCCTTGGGGACAGCTGTGATGGCAAGGGACACTGAAGAGCTCCTGTGTACACAGCCTTGCAGAAGTCACTTTTTTAAAGTTGGTTTGTAGTGGTTTTAAATAGAAATCAATCAGGTGTTACTGCAGCTTCTCCGCTTCTGAAGTGAGCTGAACACCCGATACCACATTCCACTTTGGCTTCATGAAAACCCTGTATTAAAGATATTTTTACTTTGGAAACAGTTAATACATTGTGTTACCTCAGTGACAAACCTGTCACTGAATAGCTGGACAGGGGCTCCAGGCTGCTTTCCTGCTGGAGAAACTGTTCAGTGTTCTTGATGATACCTGATTTGGGGTTAATTTTTTCTGTCATTTTTAAAAATAAGTTTCTCCTTCCAGAGTCAAATCGGTTGGAGCAGTTAAGATTGCACTGAATGTGGTGGCTCCTGGGGTGCAAATCGGTCTGTGCACAGGAACAGGTGACAAGTTTCAAACCCACACAGGGGAATGCTTCCATAGGTGAAAGGATGGCAACAGAATTTTAAAGTGCGAGGTAACACTTTAAGCAGGTGATTTTTGTCCTTCATTTTAGGGTGGGTTTTTCTTCCTCCTTTTCACACCGAAGCTGGTGTGTTCCCTGGCCTGCCAGTTGCCAAGGGCAGGACACCGTTGTCCCTCTGGCGCCCTGTGGGGCAGAGCTATGTTAGCCGCCCTCCCCGAAGGGCTCGGGCTGCTCGGGAGGACGAGACACACAGACAAGCGTTAACACCAGAGTCCAGTTGACCCTGGGGTTCATCACAGCCCTTCTCCAGGGCGCTTGAGCTCGCAGGCTGCAGCCGGGTGGCGTGTCACCTCAGCGGGGACGGGCACCTGGAGCGGCGAGGGCTTTGCCGTGGGACAGCCTGAGCTGCCGGGCGAAGGAAGGGGACAGGTGAGTGGAATGCACCGGGGACGGCAGCCGCTGCGCCTGCCATCAGCCCCAGAGCAGGAGCATGGTGACAGAGGCCAAAACGAACCTATTTCTCTTTATCTTTCACCAGAAGACCTGTCCGGCCTCACTTTTTACCATCAGCACGTGAGACACTTCCGTCCTGTCCCTTAGACTGTCCCTCACCTCCCCCTGCCCCGCTGTGTGTTAAACTCAGCTTTCCCGTGCCCCCAGTATGAGTCTTGCTGGAGCCACATTCACTGCCTCCACCTTCTCCCCTCAACAGACACAATGTCTCTCAGCTAGTGTCCAGCCCTGCCGGGATAGTTATTTCCCCACTCTAATTTCTGTCACATTTTGTGTCTTCTACCATTTTCCTCCTCTTTATCACCTTAAGTGCGAGCTGTGAGTCTGGTTCTTTCTAGCTTATCTCCATGCTTTCCCAGCCCACGCTACTCAGCTGTGGGCTCTGGACTTTGCTGTGGCCAAAAATACCAATTTAAATTGCCAATTTGTTGAAATTTTAGCCTAATACCTTAATGTTCTGCACGGGCAGAGCTTCCCCTTAACATACACAAAGTGACTTTCTTCAGCCCTCTCCTTTTAGGCAGCACAGATAACTGACAAGGATGAGGCAGACGCTACGGGGTGGCCACTACCTGGCTGGATGGCTAATACCATTACATGGCTTTTTTTGTGCTTTCTCAACCCCTCTGTATCATCTACCTTTTGCTTTTTATCAGACTTTAGAACAGAATCACTTTCCTGATGAAGGAATTGTAACGCAGCCGTGTAACAGGGGGTGTTACTGACCCTCCTCTGCTTTCGCAGGGGGTCGGTGGCTGCAAACCAGAGGGACGTTCCGCACAAGCCCAGGCTGGAAGATGGGCTGTCCTGCGGGAAGGCGGGGGATGGCACAGCTCCAGCACCTGGGCTCAGACTGGGAAAAATTCGACTACCCACGTGGAACATTTCAGTAACTGATCACTACCGCCACACTGCAGCTAATAACAGTGCTACTTAGTGACAGTAATTAGTATCAGTGACTCTCATTTTCACTCAGCTGATAAACTTACCTGGTACGAAGCCCATGTAGGAAGGGATCAGTCCAGCGCTGGTGTAAATCCTGTGGTTAGGCCAGTATGTTTGGGGAAATCTCTTGCCAAAGCTGCAAACTGGGTTTCTCTGCAAAAACTGGAAAACAAACCAAAAAAAGTATCGTTCATTTTAAACCATATGGTTGTTACCCAAGTCATGTGCTTTGACTCTGCATTAAAGGCAATATTTAAGCCAATGTAAAGCAATTCTATGTCCAGTTCTGCATTCTGCTAATTAGGCACTACATTGCATCTCCCCTTTTTCCACTTGGTGGGTTTTCTCCCGATGGGTGCTGGCGGCAGCCTCTGCTCGCTCGTACTGCGGGTGCACAGAGCAGCTCCTGGCCCACTGGCGGCAGCGGCATCTCTACAGCCTGGGCTGCGTTCCTGCCTTCCTCACCTCCGGGCATCAGCCGCAAGTCCCAGGCGCCATGTGCTGCTGCGCCATGGGCCAGCAGCGTCTGCTGGAGCCGCGTCCGTGCCTCGGCTGTGCTCCCACTCTGCACATCTGTGTTTTGGTTTGACCCCTTCACCTGGTTTTGTTTTTCCATGAGTCCCACCGTGATGATTAGCCAGTAATTCCCAGGCTGGGAGGAACAGGAAGGCTTAGGGAGTGTTAAATGAAGGGAGAGTGTAAATCTTCTCCTGGATCTGTCCCTGCCCTCCGAGGTCAGACCCAGCGCAGGGGCTGTGCTGGAGGGTGAATATTCCAAATCCCCACATCTCTACCGTGACAAAACCCCAAAAGGTCTACGCTAAAGCTGCGCCGCCCTGCTCAGGGGAGAAGGGACGGGGCTCATGGAGCCTGGCAAACTGCAGGGACCATCGACCCCTTTTGTGACCGAGGATGGAGCAGTGGCTGCAGTCCCTCAAGCGCAGCACTGAAGCGAGAGGATTGCGTTATTTTGCCTGCTGCAGACAGTAAGCAATGAGCCATAGCACGTCCCAGTGCGTAACCTAGGGCAACAGAGATTTAGGGCAGAAGATTAGTGGCTTGAAGTCAGAAGCCATCTTAGATAGAAATGTGGTGTGATTTTTTTTTTATTTTTTTTTAGCTTATATTCCTCCAGCACCTGATGTGCTGCAGCCAACCCCTGCGAGCCCGGCTTCCACTGAATCCTGCGATGGAGAAACACCTCCTCCCTCACTGATGTACTACTGCATGGCAGACGTTTCTTAAGACGTCAGGGGCAGAAAGGCTTTGCAAACAGCACATTTATATTCAATAATGCCAGTTTTTTTGTTCTCTTTGGTTTGTTTCAATTCCTATTAACAGCAGAAGGAAAGGATAAGGAAGCCAGCGCAGGGAAATACATTTCAGGCAAAGCACCAGGCTGCTGTGAGCGCTGTCAGCCCTGCTGCTCTCCCGCTGAGTCATTTCTTCGCAGCTGAGTTTCTCCGAGCTGGGGATCCTCAGTCTTGGACTTTTCTCTACATCAGACCCATACGCTCTGGGATGAAGGCACCGCAGTGAATCCCAGTGACCAGAAAGGGCTGGAAATATTGTACCCTGATTTCACGGGGCTGATCAGCCCTCACCAGTGCCGGACCAGCGAGACAGCTGCATCCCGGGGCTCTCGCTCCACCCTGGCAGCAGGAAGAAATGTGTAGCTTTGAACGCAAACTGTGAACTACTGAGGGAGGGATCTCATTTTCCCGTGTAGGAGAATTATATGGCACTATGGGGGGGGGACCTTACAAGCAAGTGGATGAAATATTCTTTCAGTAGGGATGTTTCTGCATCCTCCCCAAAAGGAGGAGAAAGAGGATCTAGATCCCTTTAAGACAAATTATGTTAGTAAAGGAAAAAAGCCTTATAACCACTTAAAAGGGAGAAATATCCACCCAAGCAGCCCGGGAAGCCATCCAGCACTGCCGTCCAGGTAGAGAAGATGCATTGCGCAAGGGAAGCGCAGATAGTTGCTTCCTGTGTTTCTGCACTCAGAGCAACATTTTTAATAGCCACTCTTGAACCAACCCTCAATAGATTTGCTTAATCCTTTTATGAACTCATTTATCCTCCCTTAATGTCCCAAGGAAACAAGTTACAGAATTTAATTGCTCGTGATTTTTTCAACATGTTACCTAATAGCATTTTATTTTGCTTGTACTTATAACCCCGGTTCTAATACTGCTACTGTAAATGAAACCGCTTTTGGTGTTGCAGATGAATCAACAGCAACATTATATTATTGAAATAAGATTTGCGGATATAATCTACCTGATGTTGTTCAAATTCATTCATGGCTTCCTTCACACCCTGGACATAGTTCACGCCATGAATCCAGGTGAGGCGGGGGATGAATCCAGCGTACCCTTCGGATGAAGACAAGAGAGGACATACATATCGTATAATGATCAACTGGTCTGGAAGTGGAAGAGACTGGGATAAATATAAAACCTTGGCAGAGTATAGGAAGGAAAAATTAATCCATTTAAATTGTAAAATTAACTCTTATATGTGAAGTATCTTTCTGAAAGAGTCTTTTTTTATGATTCCCAAGGAAAACTCAATGGGCTGCTTTGTGGACTCCATGAGGTACAGAAGGAATATTTCATTTTCTTATAGTCCTTTCTTTACACCAACAGGTCTGTTGGTCTCTCCCAGTTTCAGGGGCTAACAACTGGGTGCCCAACCTTTCTTCCTCATTTGCCCTGCCCAGCAACGAATTTTCACCAATTATAAGACAGAAACTATATAAAGGCTTGAACTACATAAAATGTAGAGGTACAACCTAAAAGCAGCCAGAACTCCCTCTTTCCAAAGCAGTGCCTCAGAGAGAGAGAAATTTGTCTTCTGCATCCTAAAACATCGATGCTCTTTCACTCCACTTGAAACATTTTGATGTGCAGCCCCTGTATTCGCTGTGGTCGGCTGCAGAGCGAAGCGTCCCCCCCGCTGGCGCCATACCCTTTAGGGGGCAGTTCAGGGCATCCCCTTCACAATTCTCCTCCTTGCAGAGGAATGCTCTTCCAGAGCAAGCGGAGAAGTTACAGCATGTAACTCCTTGTAAGACAGTTTTATACATTTATGACGGGGCGATACACCACTGAGTGTTGATTTGATGATTCAGTAAAAAGAATCGTATTTCTCGGAGAGAAATAACCACCTCAACAGTAACAGATACTCATCAAGCTGCTGACGTTGGTGCAGAGCCCACAACCCAGCTCGCCTCGCTTTCTGCAGCATGTTCTAGCTTGGCCCCACAGCTGTGGGGACCTGAGGTGGCTCCCACATCCCTTCCACCACAGGCACGTGTCCCTCAGGGTGAGATCCAGGGGGGTGACAGCATCCCAAAGGAGATGGAGAGGAGCAGGGGTGTCTTCCATCCCCAAGTGTTCAAGCGAGCTGGAGCGACTGGCCAACGTCTCTGAGATTTCCGCAGGGGAAGAGGGATAAGGTGATTTCTTCTGAGGTGGACTTGTGCTGCACATGACCTCCCTCTCCTTTACCTGAAATGACTTTCTGTTGGATCACATGTGGTATATCCAGTTCTGGTAACCAAGTGTCTTTCTCCACATCTGCAGTTTCAGCCACTCCTGGCAGAGTCACACCTTCAATTTTTACAGGCTCAAAATAAAAGCAGAAATACAGTAAACACAGTAAAACCCTCTTCTTCCTTTGGCTCCATTGCTTAAATCGCTGCCAGAGCCTGGGAATGGCAACTGCCATTTCTGTTTCTTCCTGGCTTTGCACTAAGAATTTTACACTAAGGCTTTACTCCAAGAATTTCTGGTAAAGTCAAATTACCAGGCGAGCTCTTTGTACGCAAAGGTTTTGCAAAATCCCCAGGGAGAACAAGGGGAGCTTGGGGAAGAATGCCCCTTCTTGGAATTTATATCCAAGCCAGCTTTTGACTCGATACGTCAAATCTCTAATCTCTGCCTTCAGGGGATTTACAGAGCCCCGGCTGGCTGTGACGCGACAAACGCTGCCTCTGGCTCCAGAAGAAAGAAGGGGCTCAGACACGTTGGTCCTGAGCGGAACCGGCTGTGCCCCGTAAAGCAGCACCCACATCCATAGGGAAGTCCCAGTGCTTGTGTTTGAGCGAGGGATAACAACGGTGGGAAGTTCAGGTGGGAGCAGTTAAGGAGTCAGAGCCCCAGCACATAACCAAGGGTGCCGGGAGTGCGCTCCTTTTGGAGGAGGAGAAGGGCAGCAGCAGCAGCAGGGATCCCGGTTCACCCGAAGTAAACACAAGCCTGGCTGCATAGCACAGCGTAACACAAGATGTAGCGACTGGGATTGGAAGCTAAAACTCACCCAAATAAGAAGTTAAGCCTTTTTGATTAGGGAAAGTAATTAATGATGACAACAATTTCCTGAAGATGTGGTGGATTTGCTCCTGCTAGAAACATTTGTGTATTTGATATTCCTCTACACAGCACTAAACTTTCTGTCCTTGCCACCCACGCCTGTATGAAATTCCCTCTTCACACCCATGGACTGAGATCCCTTCTATGCCCACCAGTCCCCAAACCCCCATCCCTCCACAGCAGCGTCCCTTACCAGGCGTCTTTTCCACCCAAAACCACGTACCGGTTTGCTCACTGCCAGGGCACCGCCGAGCTGGCCAGGTCCGCACCTTTTCCCCTGTCCACAGGCCGGAGTTAGCTCAGGCAAGTGCCATTCTCGCCCCTCAGACGCAGGATGGCATGAAATCCTCCGTGGGTACCCCTGAGGCAGTCGTGTCCCCGGGACGTACTCGCCGGGGTGGTCCTGGGGCACAGGGTCCATGTGCGTCATTATCAGCTCTTCCTCTGCTGGCACTGGTGGGGGAGGTTTTGGCCCAAGAGGTGGTTCAGGAGAGCTTGTTGCAGCCCCAAACTTCTCATAGGGAAAGTACCCTGTGGGACAGACACTGAGTTATGGGAAAGGAGTGGACAAACGAGGATGAAGGATTCCCATTGCACTGGACCTCAGCCCCTACACACTCCTCCGGAGCAAAGGAGAGGAGCGTGGAGGTCAACAGCATCTCTTGGGCTGCGAGTCCATCCTGCCAGTGCCATCAGCCCCATCCCATCAACCAGCCTGCACAGAAAAACTGCACAAACATAAGTTCAGTAACTTAAAACTTATTCTAAGCGACGCCCAGGCTGTAAAATATCATCAGGCAAGCTATAAAGATTAAGGGGAAAAAACCCTCCCCGTATCCTTTTCTCCACGTGGCTGCGTCAGCACACCCCAAAAGCAGACACCACGTCCCCCCGCATCCAACCAGGAATTCATGCACTGGCTCCATCGCTGCTCGTTGAGGAAAGGGTCTGCTGTAACGCTGGCTGGAAAAGAAATTATCTTTTGTCCACTGTATGCTAAATATGTCTGTTGTGAACCAAGGACGGAGTCCTGCATCTCAAGACTCCGCAGGGAGAGCCAAGCTTGGCAACTTCTGTCTGACTTTCCCTGAAAAACATCCCGTGATGTGGCTCCCCAGGCTGCCCCGGCCCCCCACGACACCTCCAGCCCGGGCCCTGCCTCACGCTCTGTGCCAGCGGTGAGGCCAACATCTCCTTCCTCAGTGGTTACAGAGAACGACCACTCTGATACCCCACAACAACCTTCTCCTTACTGGAAAACTGTTGCTATGTCAGTCTTGGCTTTTTTAAACAAACCAAATTCCTTCAATTTTTGTTCAGCCCTCTGGTGATTACTGCCTTCCCCCGACCTCCTCATGTCTCATGGGCGTCTGTGTCGCAGTGCAAAGCCCCACAGACGAGACACCGTCTTCCAGCAAAGGCTCCATCTGCAGAGAGTGCCGGGGAATGACTACCTGTCCCGGCTCAGACAGCACAGAGCAAAATTCGCCCCTTTCTGCAAAAGCATAAAACTTCTGATGGGCGTTTAGGTTTTCAGTCTGCTTATAATTGTATTATAAAGTATATATATTGTTTATATCTTTGTAAAATATATATACTCCGTGTAATGGAATCATCAAGTGTTGTCCAGGCCAGCAACAAAATAAAGAAAAATCTTTGATGAAAGGAATTTTTCAATCCAGTGTGCAAACTTTAAAGCAGGTTTGGCTTAATATTTCCTTCATTATTAATGAAAATATTGCATCTCTTTTTTTTTCTTTTTATCCCACAAACCAAAGGAAAAGGAAAACCGAAGTTTTATAGTTGAGAAATCCATATGAGCTCTTTTTTATGACCTTGAGTTTTGCAAACTTATTGATTCAGAAAGGTCGCAGAGTAAGGCACTAAATTAAAAGCCAGGAGAGCACTGTACATTTGATTTGAGTAAATATCCATATGTTTTCAGTCCAGGTTCCTGAGGAGCAGGTGCCTGCATGCTTGGCCTCTGCCATGTGGGAAGTGTCCCTGTCTATGGCAGGGCGTTGGAACTTGATGATCTTCAAGGTCCTTTCCAACCTAGATCACTCTGTGATTCTATGATAACCCCCTCAATGCCAACACAGCCACCCTGTGAGATCCAGCATAACCCTGGGTGATATCCCCAACCAACGGAACATGACCTCACTTCAGGAGAAACACAACATGGGATTCAACTGATTGAAAACAGCGATACACTTGGTGCCCATCAACAAGCCTCTATCAAAAACAGACCTTGAGAAAAAGTCTTCAGACTCGGTTTGCTAAAGGCAACCACACGGATCCAACACTGCCGTGAGCTCTTTGATCTCCACCATGTAAGACACCCAAAAGGATGCTGGGCAGTACTAATGAAATTTGCAGTGAAGGGTTTAAGGAATCGCTCACTGACAGCTCGACAACTCTGATGAAGAGTTTACCAGCATGTCAAGGTTCTGCTCTCTGTGGCCATGTTCTTCAGCATTTCACCAACGAGCAGCAAACATGAGGTCCCAGCTGCAAACGTTGGCAGGTGACGAAAAGGTTGGTGAGGAGAGAGCAAGAATGAGGACGGGATAATGAGAGAGCCCAACTAGGTCAACTGGTTGGTTTGGTCCATCCAAACTACATTTTAGTCCAAGGAAATACAAATTTAAATGTCCAGGAATGAAGCCTGTAAACACCACTTGTGCAGTGAAGACCTGGATTCTGGGAAACAGGGCTAGGATGAACAGAAAGGCCAAAAGTTTGCAAGAAGCTACACAGCATGAATTCCCAGCATGAAATGGGAAAGCATCACTTTGGTGTGGTTGTCCCCAGAGAAATGAAGACCCAGATCCCACCCAGGCACGTAACCCCTGCGTTCAGCCAGGACAGGACTCACTCCCACTGAACAGAGCGTCCACAATAGCTACGGCTTGGACACATGATATGGTACATGGCAATCAAGTGTCCAAAGGAGAGGCATTGGTACGGGGTCATGGTGCAGCTGCTGCTGTGGCCTCATTTGGGTCTGCTCAACCAGGACCAGGCACTGTGCCTGGGAAGGCTGGGGCTTGGTAGGAGATTCCGGCAAATTCCCAGTGTTGGGAATCGACATGAGTGCATCTCAATGTCTAATGGAGGGACCCGTTAAGCAGAAGCGGAGATGGTGGGAAGGGAAGGGCACACGAGCCCTTCTGCTGAGCTGAGGAAGGAGCAGCGAGACACAAAATGAACCACAAACTGCAGGTGAGAGCTCTGAGCACAACCAGCTCTGCACCAGGCCAGGAAAGGGTCGGAGGGGGCAGCGCCGACCTTCCCCAGACAGACAGAATTTGGCCTGTGGAATTGTGCTGGTTTTGGCTGGGATAGAATTGATTTTCTTCACAGTAGCTGGTATGGGGCTGTGTTTTGGATTTGTGCTGGAAACAGTGTTGATAATGCTTTGGTCACTGCTGAGCAATGCTTACACAGAGTCAAGGCCTTTTCTGCTCCTCACATCGCCCCACCGGCGAGGGCTGGGGGTGCACAATAAGCTGGGAGAGGACACAGCCAGGACAGCTGACCCCAACTGCCCAAAGGGATATTCCAGACCATCTATAGGGTCGTGCTCAGCAATAAAACTCAGGGGGAGGTTGGTGGAGGGGCTGCTGCTCGGGGACTGGCTGGGCACCCATCGGTTGGTGGTGAGAAATCATTTTCATTTGCATCACTTGTCTGTCTTGGGGTTTATTTCATAGAATGCTTTAGGTGGGAAGGGACCTTAAAGATCATCGAGTTCTAACCCCCTGTCACGCACAGGGACACCTCCCACTAGACCAGGTTGCTCAAAGCCCCATCTTTTGCTCTCTTTTTGTTATTTTTCTTTTTATTACTATCATTATTATTATATTTTAGTTATTAAACTGCCTTTATCTCAACCCATGGGTTTTCTCACTTTAACCCTTCCGATTCTCTCCCCTGGGGGGAGGGAGGGAGGGAGCGGCTATGCGGTGCTGAGACGCCAGCCAGGGTTAAACCATGACAGGAATATGGAGGAATTGAGGAGTGAGTCCATAATATCCCATAAAATCATTTATCCTCATCTAACTGAAGATAACCTGGGAACTAAAACTCTCCAGGCACCAACGTGAGGAGCCCCATACTCATCAGCTGAGGCCAAATGCTCCAGCTCCCCATGGGTGCTGCTCTCCGGGTGCCTGTGCTCCTACACCAGAGCTATGGTCACTCTGTGGAAAATGTCTCATTTCACCCCAGGAGCCTCTCGAGGACGGAGACAGACCCCACTGCTCATGACTGACCCTGTGCTCATTAGCAGAGCCCGTTCTGGCAAAGGGATGAGCCCCTGCTCACCTGGACGCCCAGGGAGATAACGCTGGACACCGTGCTTTGTCCCGCTGAAGTCCTCGATGAACTTCTGCTTGTGCAGCGGCGCCAGCAAGGGGCGAGGGCTCTTCCTAACCTCGGGGTCCGTCAGCAGCCGGTAAGTGGTTTTGCCAAAGGTCTCTCCAAACTGATAGTTGTACTGCGGGATGAAGCCCTCGTAGCTGAGGAGGAAACCAAAAAAGAGCGGTCACTGAGATGGCGCTGGAAGGTGTCCACTGGCAGGATAACCTTCTTTAGAGCTTTTGTACACCGGAAGGGCCACGGCCAGGAGCACGCAGGGCCAGGATTACCCACGCCCAGGGGAGGTGATTGCACAGGGATGTTCCTGGGACTGCCAATGCCACCATGCTGCTGGAGCAGAGGCGAGAGGGGAGCACCGAGATGGCACGGGTGGTTACACATGAAGCCCGGAGGTGTGTGTTTGCACATGCATGTTTTCACACGTGAGCATGAAAACTGGCTCATAGATTTGCAGGCGTGCATACACAGGCTCGTGCTTTGGTTCACATACGACTATGGGATGAGGTCACGGAGCGTGGCTGAAGCAGCAGCTGCAGATGGGAAAGCTCATGGTGGGAGCACAGCGTAGGCTGCAGTCGCTTCATCAACACCGACACCAACAGCCCCCCAGTTAAAATATTATCTCCAGTTAAACAAGCCTCTGGTTTAAGTTCTGTTCTAAACCACAGTGAGTTACCAGGAATTTCCCAGTGTCCCTTATTCAATACTGAAACTCAAAAATCAGAAAAATTGCTTCTTTGGACCCTCCAACCCTTCGCTCTGTACCCTTGCAGTGAGGAGCGGGACTGGGCTCACAAACCCATCCAGGCACTGCACGGGAGAGGCACGGGCGGGCAGGCGGCTGCTCAGCCCTGGTAACAAACATCATTCGATTTTTTGGGGACCTTCTCATGGTGTGTGTAGGGACACGCTACTTCTTGGCCACCCCTGGCCTGGGACAGGCAGTTTGACTTTCTGGTGGCACGGGGCAGGTGCTGGAGCTCCACTCCCAAGTCCACCAGTACGGATTAGAAACTTTAGCTATTCCCAGTATTACATTTCCTAATGGTGATGTTATTCCACCACTGAAGAAGAAAGGTAGAGCTGCCAGTTACAATGCACAGACAGAAATACTCAGTCAATGATCCCACTGCGTATCTAGGGATAAAGCCGGATGATGCATGAGGATCATAAGATGATGAGTAAGTACTTTCCCTTCCAAATACTTTAAACAACAGCGAGCAGAGCCGTGCATTTACGCTTGGCAAGTTTTCCCACTTTGCATGCAGGATCTCTCACCAGCGGCTGCCGGAGGAGCTCGGTGGCTCATCCCCATTGATTTTCAATGAGTCTTGCAACACAGGGAAGCTACGCCAGGACGATAAAGCTCAGCAAGAGCACAAATGACCCAGCCTGAATAATTACAGGATGGCCAGAGGGGTTTTGATCATGAACAAAATAATGGTAGGGCTGAGAAAGGATTCAATTCATAAGCAATTGAAAGCGAGGTAATCCGAGGCGCTCGGGCGAGTCAGTGTGGGTTGATGGAGCCGGGATCTGCCACAGAGAGAGGTACAAGTGCTGCCGGTAAAAGCCGTGGCGCTTGGAGAAGAGACTGGTCTCAGCAGGGCTGCTCGACCTTCTCCTGCTTGGTGTTTAGATTAAGAAACCAGAGGGATCCCCCGTTTCTGTAGCTCACGCTGAAGCCGCTGATCTCAAACCTCCTTGGCGAGCAGCGTGTAACCTGCTTTCCCGAGGCTGAGCCTCATTTCACTTTTCTCTTACTCAGCCCTATCTCTTCCATCGCCACTCCCCAGACTGTCACCCAAACCTGCTCGGCCTTCCTGAGCGCCAGGGAAAGCTTTGGCCCTGGGCCCATCCTCGCTCAGCTCCGTGCCCTTCCCAGCTCCGCCAGGCCGGGATGGGACAGGCAGGGCTGTTCACAGATTTACCCCTTCTCTGTGCGCTAAGTCCTTCCCAAACCATCCCACACGTCGGGTTTGGCTTCCCAACGCTCTTGAGCACTGCAGTGGCGCTTTTGAAGTCCTGGCCCTGACCATTGCCCGACCTGAGTGACAGCAACCAGTTGTGATGCCCTCACTGTGTTTGTGGGTTCACTGGCACGGGACAGCTGGTGAGATGCCGCGATGCAGCATCTTCCTCCTCCTCCTGCTGGCACTGCAGCTCAGGGTGCTCCGTCTGCTGGCAGCAGAGCCTGGGCTCCGGCGATGCCCTTCGGGCAGCTCCTCCTTGTGCTCCGCCACCCAAACCAGATGCAAAGCAGCCCCTCGCCACCGACGGGGGCTTCCTCGGGGGTTTGGGGTGATGCTACGAGCCTGCAGGGCCCTGAAAAATGCAGCAGCAGCATTTAGTTCTTCCTCCTGCCTTCAGTGGCCAAAGCACTACCACGGAGAGGAGCAGCTCCAGCAGCTGTGTTGGTATTAGGGCTCAAAGCTGGTTCTGGGTGAAGTTGTCTGCAGGCAGGAGTGAGCAAGGGAAGGTTTTGAGGCTTCTGGAGGTGCAAGCCCAGTCACAGCTTTCTCCTTGTTACTCGTCTTTCCCAAGCCGCTGTCAGCACACAGCTTTGACAGGGTGACAGCGTGCATGGAGTAACACGTCACATCGTTCAGACAACCGCAGCAATGTAAAAACGTGTTAAGAACCCCCAACTCCAGAGCTTATGTAAGTTTGGAAGATGCAGAGACCAGTAATGGAAAAATCCTGCACGCTGCTCTAGTGGGAAGGACAGACGTGATCGTCACCACAGGAGGATCGTTAAGGAAGGAAGCACACTCCACCCTTCACCTGCAGCGGCGGATCTGCCTGCCCGGACCTGTGCTGCACCCGCAACCGTGCTGGTTTTCCCTGGGCTGAGGTTTGCAGCCCGGTCTGTCACCAGCTCCTCCGCCCCGGGAGATCATCCTGACGCCTTTCAGAGTTTGCCTCAAACTGGACAAATCCAAGTGATTTTGCACCAATGGGAGTTTGTTTCCCTCAGTGGCCATCCAGCCCTTCCCAGCCCATTGAGACATCTCATGGACCACGTCTCCCAGTACGGGTCACCAGGAGACCCCCCACACAACTCCTCTACTTCACCACGAAGCCTATCCACTTATTTCTGCCCCTCGTGTCTTACCTTTTAACCGGTAACTCCTTACCTCTTTCCAAGCATTTAGAGGAGGATGTTGGAAAAAAAATAATATGTAACTACATATCAACTCAATCACCAGCACCCACAGAGCCACTGACTTCTTCAAAGAGCTGAGGCCCAGGAGGCGGCACTGCGCTCCAAGCTGTTTGACAAGAGCGTACCATGTGTAGGCAACTATTTATTCAAAGGAGATCTTCAAACATCCTCGATGCAAAAGTTATGGCAGTTTGGAAGCCAAAGCCCGCACAGCAGCCCTGGGAACATTTGGTAGCTTAAAACAAATGAAAAAAAGAGGGGGAAAAAAAAGAAAAATTTTGACTTTACCCTCAATGCACGAGGGCATGGTCTTTAATTATACCCTGTTACAAGGTGGTGCTTCTTGTCCTGGAGCCCCGTCTCCTTCAGAGCACTGTTACATGGAATATTTAATAGTGTCTTTAAGAAAACCCAAAATATCATGAATAGTAAATACTACATGCCCCCAGCCGGAGCTATTTGCATTGGAAATGAACAGACATTTTGGATGAACTTCAGAACTTACCCAGGGATATAGTAGGGATCGGGTGGGAAGAGGTTATTCTCCTTCGGGGCTGCCATGGCAATGCGGCAGCGCTCGGTGGTGGGCGTGGGAGGAAGGAGATGCAGCGATGCAGTCGCCCGGGAAACCTCTGTGATGCTGTCGGGAGCGATGTCAGTACCTGACAGCGCTTCCAGCTGCAGAACACAGCTTGTCAGGTTTTTCTGGACTCATCTTTTTTTCCCCCACCTGGAAATTTTGGACGAGCGCAGAGATTTTATAGTGTTTGTCAGGTTTCCTGAAGGCTCGTAGCCCTTGGGACAGTACCGCCAGATGTTCCTCGTAAGTGGCCTCAAATACACATTCACAGTGCAGTTCACATCCACACGCACAACTGGGGAGAGCCTGGCTCTGCGCGCCCCCGTCACTGGTGCCACACACACACGGCCAGGACAGCACTGTCTGCACACACCGACCTGTGTGAACACCTTTCTGTTGAGGAAACCTCAAGGCAGAGGTTCGGGGATTCACGGTGCTGAGGTGGAAGGCTCAGCCCTCCTCTCCCTGCTCCTCTCGCTGCCCCCCCAGTCTGTTTGAGGATGTGATTCTTCGCTGCCTTGCTTCACGCAGGATAAATGTTGTTCCCATTCCCAAAACCGTATGGTCATGGTGTCTCATGTCTGGTAGGTTCCACCCCATCCCAGCTGAAGGCAGGCCCAGAACATGAGTCTCCTGTTTACCGAGCAGCCACAGCGGCCAGTATGTCCTCAAGTCAAAGACCACTATGCCTGTTAGCACCAGCATCGTTTCCACCAACTACAATACCAGCAGCAAGCCCAGTTCACTGCCAAAGTCCCTCTATGGCCTTGAAGAGCTCGGCCATGCGGCTGGCAGAATCATTTTAAGGTTTCAAAGCTACTAACCAGAAATCACAGAGTATTCAAGGGTTCTTCTCATCTGTTTAGCTGCCTATACACCACCTAAAATTGTATCTGAGGAGATAAAAATGCTGCTTTGACTCTTGCCCTTGGTGCCTAAACACTTTGAGAGATCTGGGATTTCCAGCTTTTAGAAATATATTTGAGTTTGCCCAACTACCTGAGCTCTGGTCAGGGGCAAACGTCTCCAACAATGCCTGGTCTGCAGGGTGGATAGGTCTGTGAGGGGTATGACTGCTCTTCTCAGAGGTGCACAGTGGAAGACCAGGAGAAAACAGGGACAAGATGCAACAAGGGGAAGGCCCACTGGACACAAGGAGAAACTTCACCTCCATGGGAGCAGCACAGCCCTGGGACAGGGTCAGGAGAGGTGGTGGCATCTCCATCCTCGGAGATCTTCAGGGCCCAGATGGGCAAGGCCCAGAGCACCCCAGTGGAGCTTGGAAGTTAGCTCAGCTTTTAGCAGACAATTTGTAAGAGACCTACAAAGGTTCCTCCCAGCCTAGATCTTCTGAGTTTAATATGAAGATAAAAAATTGCTTACTGAAACACAGCAGCGTATTCATGGCACCAAGCAATGCTCCCAGGCCGGTGCAGGTCCCACTGGCCCAAGGGGGCTCAGACCAGCATCCTCCCAGCATTTCCAGAAACTCCCTTCAAAGTTCATTCCTTTAAACAGCCAGTGGCTGCTCCTTCCAAACCTGGGGGTCACACGCTTACCAAAGAGCTACTGAATAATCAGACCAAAATATCAGTCCTCAGTGCAGACACCTGGGTAAAAGAGTAGAGATTCACTTTTGTCAAGGTTATCATTAGAATTTATTGATATGAGAGAAACTTCGTATGTCAACATGTCAATAGAGGAACAGCATGTCCTGACATAACAGAAGTACGAAGCCCATCCAGGTGATGTTACAGCACTCTGGTATCTCTAAACTCCGAAGTACAGGAGATCAGGCACACGGCTGTGTATTACTTGGGTACGTTTTCTGCGACAGGACAGAAATACTCCAAAAATACCATCGATGCGTGGTTTGCCAGCCACCAGTGCCCAACAGGCTGCAGCAGGGACCACGCTGACCTTGACTCCATCACCCCGCTCCAGATGGACGGCACACATGTGTAACGGCAGCTCACCCTGGGCCCCTCTAGTCACAGGAGAAAAAAAAAAACAAAACAAACCTATTTGGGGGTGAGATTCACCTGAGCCCATGTAGCCCTTGCAGGGAGATGAGATGAGTTGGACCCTCGGGCTCCTCAGCACGTAAAGGCATCCTGGCATCTGTCAATTCAGAAACAGGATTGGTGGGTGTTTTTTTTTCTTTCAACTAACAATTATCCTCATATAACTGTTTTGACATTCCCTCTCTCAGCGGTGCCCTCTTACAGAGCTCGGAGCACAGACAGCCATTCACACTATGCTGGTGGCTAAGATAAAAACTATCGTTATAATCTTTACTGGAAATGTATGCTATGCTGGATGCTGTTTAAAGGAGATTCCATCTTCTCCCAGCTTATGAGATATTTGGTTTGGTCCTAAGTATCTTGCTAAACGATTAGAGAGGGAATACCAGAGTATTCCCCAGGCACCTGGTAAATCCACAATGGATTTATTGTAGAAACGAGCTGAATTCTCTAACTCACTCCAAATGGATTTCAGAGCCCTCTAAAACCCTCCAGAGAATGAGCCGTTTGTGACACGGCAAACAAAAAACAACCCCAAGTTCAATGAGTAAGTTGTCTTGCGTTGTGCAGGGAGCATCCAAAATAAAACGCAAACCCACGCGAAGGGGATATGCCAGTCCCATCTCCTGATGCTGGACTGAAGCATGGCAACAAAGGAGCCTGGGCTGAAGTGCATCTGCCTGGCCAACAGCACCAACCCTGCTGCAGACCTGAGGAGGAACCACCGATGGCAGGACAGCGTACCGGAGTGCGTGTGCGCAGGCGTGTGCCGGGGAAGACCCGTACTCTGCTCCTTTTCCTCTCACATGAGCTATGACAAGTGACACAGCGGGTTCTGCTCTCAGCCATACAGTTCCACCAAATCTAAGTTCCCTCTGCACATGTAACAGCATTGACTTAGAGATCTCATATTAATGGGTACTTATACAGGATTAATTGCACATCAGTCCATTGTGGCTACAAGTTCATTAGGCTAATAAATCTACATAGTGACAGTAGTACAGTATCAGCTACTTTTCAATACAAACTCCCTACCCTAGCCTTAATTTGTAGGCCAAAAGAAGATCTTCTACCGTAGTGACCTTCCCATGACCTTTAACATTCATTTTCAAAATTTTTTTTCTAGAAAAAAAAATCCAGTGTGGGGAAAACGCACATATATAACAAAAGCAGTGCTTAACAACCACAGGAGAAAAGAACATGATCTTGGACTCTTCTATCAGCGTCCTCCGTAGACCCTGGTAGCATTACTTCCAAAGGGTTGCTAAATCCAGCTCCGTCAGTTCTCAAGTCCATTAAACCATTCCCTAGCTCCAGGCATTTCTAGTCTCTCACTATACATATTGTCTGTAGCAAGAGCATACAGAAACACTCGCTAATGTGCACAAGACTTCCATTTGATTTAATGGAATAGTTTTAGAAGACTGAAGTCTTTACTTCTAGAAATCTGTTCTTGAGTGGTAGCGCTCTCACCGACTGGTAGTTTTCTATTCCACCCAGCGGAGAGCTCCAAGTCCCTCAATTTTACTCATTCGTTTTGCCCAAAGGTGTACGGGTATCTAATAAAACCCCTCTCACAGTATTCCCAGGAAATGATTCAGAAGAGGAGATGATTTTTCAACCAAATGAGATCCTCTGGTCCTGCGTGTCAGACCATGGCCAATAGAATGAGCAGCTGCCATGGACATCTCAACTTAAATACGGAACAGTCAAGGGAGGAGAGCGAGGTGGCCTGACCATCTTCCCGTGAGGTACAGGCAGAGACACCAAAGTCACTCTGGTCTCAACAGTTTGTCTCTTGGAGTCAAATGTTTGATTCCATTTGTTCTAGCAGGAAGTGGTGAATCATGTCAAAAGTGGGACGATCTTTTATATCCCTGCTCCAACATTTCAGCATCAGGTCAAACACAGGGTTAGGACACAGAGGAGTCTGGGAGAGATAGATCTGAAAGAAGGAAAATACAGCTATTTCAGTGGGCTTTTCATAAAAGGATTGAACCTCTACTAAGTTAGAACCAAAAGGACAGTTTCATTCTTGGTTTACAAGACACAGCCATCATGCAATGTTTGAAACCTATTAAGCGTGAATCTGGCAGTCAAGTCTGGACGGAGCTTTGATGCCATCTCAAATGGCACTGCGGACACTTTGCCAACTTGTTTGATGAGCTGGTCACAAAAACAGTCCTTTGTCCCCCAGGAAACACGAATGCTTCTGAAAGATTCATCTTCCAAGTGACAGCAAAACACAAACCAAAACCAAATTTACCACAATAAAATCCAAATACTTTCACTCACCGTAGACAACCCATGAGGCTTTCTAAGCATCGTGACAGCTTGTTAGCAGAGACAGAAAAAAGACCTTTTAGAGCCTATCTAAAGCACAGCTTGGCAGAATTTCCCGCCCCCCCCCCCCCCCCAGTTCACACTACCCTTTTAGCTCCC